TCGTTAGCCTGAAATGAGGAACACCTGTCTCCACTTAGTCCCTGAGGACAGCAAAGCAGAAAGGGTTTCAGAGCTGTGGAGGATCTACTGTTCTGTCTGTCTTTGGCAGTAGCTGTCAGTCTTCCTGTTTACTCTGCTTTAAGTTTGTTTCGTTTTGCTATGGAAACAAAACACATTCAGAGCTCACAAGTCTGCACTGGATGTTAAACTCCCAAATCAAACACAATTCCCTGTTTGCCCGGTTGTCTCCATGGAGGTCTCCCTGGTCTCTGTGCTCCGGGGGGGCCGCTGGTGGACCGGGTCTGGGGTCCTCTCAACTTCTTCAGATTGCTGGAGCAGGGCCGGTGGTTCCCCAGACACACACCTTTGAGTTGCCGTACAAAACCAGAAATATATCCTGTCTGTCATTACTATCAGTGTGGTGGCGGCCTTCAGTTTTTCTGCCTGTTTGTGTGTGTCTCTTTCTTGTGTCTGCTTGCAGGTGCTTCTACAGGTTCTCCCCCGGGTTTGTCTGCAGTATTATTTTGCTGTTAGTGTTTGTTAGTTTGTGTGTGTCTCCCCATAGTGTTTGTTTGCAGGTTCTCCCTCGAGTTTACCTACGGTGACTACAGGACATTTTTCTACAGATACAGCAGCTGGATGGATGGTTTTGTTGTCTTTCCTTTTTTTTCCCCTCCTCTCTTCCTGTTTTAGGGATCTCTTTTTTTCTCTCCTTTCCTGTCAGGTTTGGCATTAACCATATTACTTCTGTAACAAAAATAAATCTTAAATAAATAATAAAGCAATATTGGACAATCAAGGGAGGCTTTTCACACTGACAGGCTCCCTTGGCAAATTACAATTCTGTTGCCATAGTGCTAAACACGACAAGGGGTAAAACAAAATAAAACCCACACTGATTCATACTTATTCCAGGAGGTTTGTTTATTCCCTCTATTTTGTCCTTCTTGCAGTTCAGATTTTTACAGCTTATTATTGCCTTCAATCAAAACAGGAATAACAAACCAGATCACAGGTTTATAGTGAATCTTTTTCTGCTGGTTTATTTTTTCTGTTGAGATTGAAGAAACACAGGACGAGTTGGAGTTATCCTTTATGTGCCAGCGTGTACTAAGATTTGCCAACAGGGATGACACAGAGGAGTTATCAAGTGGGCACCCCCTTCATCAGCGTTTCGTCGATTTAAGCCCACGACGCTTCCGGAAGGCTCGACGGTAACCCCAGGCGTCCCTGAAGTACCCCCCTCTGTGTCATTCCTGGCTGCCTCTCGATGCCCAGCTGGTGTCTTTATGCTTCAGCCAAAGCCATTGGCTACTTCCTTCAGCTGCCTCCGACAATGCCCTGATGGCATGGCGCAGGCTTTGGCCTCTTACTCCCAGCTCCTTGAGCAGCCTGGTGGTAGATGAAGCCACAAAGCCCCTGCATCCCACCTCTACAGGGCGCACCTCAGTCCTCCAACCACGCTGCCGTGCTTCTGCGGCA